AGCAAGATGCAGGGACCCACATAGGAAGTCTCCACTCTCTGAGCACCACAGAGTTGTGTTTTGTGGGGTTCCTTCTATCCCTGTCATACTGGTGACGTGAATGGCTGGCCAGTGGTTCTGTGACTAGACCAATCCACTGAACGATCTCTCCTATGTATGTGGTGCAACAGTTTCTAAGGTTGCTGCAGATTTGAGGGGAGACGTATTACTTCCCACCTTGACCCTTGAAACTCCCAGGTGCAGGGTATGTATTCGGGCTGCTCACGTGCAGCTTCCAGGATGTAGCCACAGTAGCATAAAATGGACTGCTCTTGACATCAAACATTTTTAAATGTCAAAGCTTCTTAGACAAATGTTAAAATGTTTGCAAGGATTTTTTTTTTTTGCAAAGAGGTCAGCTGGATTTTCAATTTTAGACACACTTATTTAGAGAAGAAAGAATACTTATATTTTTCAAGAGAATTCAATTAATCTTTCACTACTCTTCAGACCAGATGCTGTAGAGTTAAGACAGATGTTTCAGGGGGAACCATGACAGCATAACTCATATAAAATCATATTTTATCCCAAATAGTTCATTCAGACATATAGTGTACCTGCTATGTTTCCTGTGCTGCCCCTGCTCTAAAGATTATTTCATCTGAACCTTGCTCACCATGACAAAGTTCTAATGAAAACCATGAACATCTCTAAAATTCCACATTTGATCAATTAGCTTTTTAGATGCAGAATTAAGGAGAATATTTATTAAGGGCTCAATTGTGAAACCTGCTGTGTGTCGGTGTAGGGGAGTTAGGGGGTGTAAGGAGACCCCTTACTTCCCTGAGTGGGCTACCCTCATTGCCAGAGCCCGTGTGATCATGTACAGAGCATTCTGATCATTGGATCACCAATTAAATTGCCTCCGAGTAAACCTAAGGGGCAAAGCTTTGCCTAATTGATAGAATGGTATGGACTGAGAGCCCAAAAGGTTAATTAGCTCAGAAAAGGCACAGGAAGGAAGTATGGAGTGAGGAGATAGAGACAGGCAGGTTATTGAGAGTCAGAGCCAGGAGAGCTTTCTCAGGAGGGAGTTACTGTCTGTCTCCTCCCTCCTTGGCTGAGTGAGCTAAGGTGGTGGGGTAACACCATCAATAAATTGCACAAGGTGTTTCACCAGAAGAAGGCCTCAGAGCAGTCTGTGGCTAGAACACAGACAGGAATGGGATGATGCCCTGTCATACTGGGGACTTGTCTGGGAGTATAGCTGGCACGAGGGTTCAGTGGCCAGGACCCTGGAGGAGACTCTGCAGTGGCTGGTGGAACAGTAAGAGGAAGTTGCCAGCAGTCATGCCACCTGGAGAGGCAGGTATGCTCACCTGGCAGAAGCAGCAGCAGCAGCAAAAGCACCTGCAGGACTTTGTACTAGGACAAGTGAATGTGCAGCAGCAGTCACTACAAAGGGCGGGGAGTCCTGATGAGGGGGGCAGAAGTGACAATGGGGCACAGGGATGGGGCTTCTCTAAGATGGACCTTGTGGATGACCCAAAATCATAGCTGGGAAGGTGTGTAGAGAAGAAGCAGAAAGAGCTCATGACAAGGACTTGTACCCTTACTTTTTACCAGTGTGAGCAGCAGGGACACGCCAAAAGAGACCGTCCATATATGCAGTGTGGTTTTCGCCAAGTTCTGTGGTTGGGCTGGGACTTGTTGGCAGGGGACAGAATGGAAACTGTCTACCATTTTTGTGAGGATGGGGAGGAAGTATTGAAGGGGCCTGGTAGACATGGACTCAGCTTGCTCTGTAGTCTGGCAGCAGTTGGTAAAAACTCACTAGATGATTCCAGTTGTAAATGTGAACATTGCATGAGTCCATAGGGATAAAAAGTGCTGCCCTATGACAGAGGTACCCTTGGAAGTCTGGGGGAGGTTCACTTTGGAAACAAGTAGAGGTAGGAGATAGGTTATTCCTTCCCATTGTGTTTGGCAGTGACTGCAGGCCCTTACCTTTGGGAAAACAAGTGGTTGTTGGGGTGCCCCAAGAGGGGAAAAATATCACCATGATGCGAGGAAGTGATACCCAAGGAGAAAGGAAGAGACAAAACAGAGGTAGCTGCCTCTAGACAAGAAGACACAAGCCAAGATGAAAAGGAAGAAAAGGAAAACAAGGTACTGTAGAAGGTTTTACATTGTATTAGATGGGAGAATAAAAGCCAGGACATAAGGAGAGACCCCTGAGGGGGTTTGGAAGCATATAGGCCCAGTGGATAAAGATAACCTGGACTTGTTAATGGTAAAGATAACCTGGACTTGTTAATGGTGGTTGAGTGGCTATCCTCTCTTCTCCACTGGTGCACGAAGTGGAAAAACCTCAGGTGCATTTTGGAGGGTTAGGAGAACCAGGAACCCTGAGTAACCAGGTGCCCATGGTGTGAGGACTTGAAACAGAATTTTGGAGGCAACCTCCATCCACTACGTGTGACTTCTGCAGGTAGAGAATGGATGGACCCTATCAGGAGGGCCTGGATGATCACCCTGTAGATGGAGGGAGAACCCTGAAAGGAAGCATCTCCAGTAAGGAAGAGAGAGCATGGGGTAAGAAAAATCTTTGTCAGGTAAGGTGAGGGAGAGATGGATGACAGAGTGCAGGGCAACAGCACCTGTACCAGCATTTGGATCACCAATGAAATTGCCATGGAGTAAACCTGAGGGATGAATTTATGCCTAATTTATAGATTGGGATGGGCTGAGGAGAACCTACAAGGTAAATTATCTCAGAAAGTAGAAAAGAGACAAGAAGGAAGTGCTCAAGGGGGAAAGAGAGAAACTGGCAAATTTCTGAGAGTCAGAGCCAGGAAAGATCTCTTGAGGGAAGATACCTTCTGTCTCCCTGTCTTTAGTGAGCTAAGGACTATATGCCTGTCAATACTGAGCTGCACAAGTTTGCAATGGCTGTGGGGAAGATACTCTAAATAAATGTAATGAGATGTTTGACCAGAAGAAGATCTCTGAGCAGTTTGTGTCTAGCGAAGAGATAGGAGCAGGACTATGCCCTCTGATGTGTGGCAGTTGTTTTGTGGGTGCTATCCCCCTTTCTGTGCAGTTAGATGAGGAATGGGCAGTACCTTGATTTTTGTCCCCAACTCATTGGCCAGCTGTCCCAGCAAAAGGACTGGTGAAGATTAATTCTTCTCTGGAAGAAGAGAAATGCAGGAGCCAGATCATAACTCTGACTCTCAATCTGGTTCCTTCCCTGCTCCGGGATGGCTGAGCTACATGCTGATCCTTACTTGGAGTGCATGGTAAGATTACAAGCTACCACTAATGTTGCCTCTTCCTGATTGGGTGACTTGTTCTCTTTCTCTCTCCCACCCTACTCTCAAATGTCATTAGTAGATGAACATTGTGAGCTGAATCTTGAATAACTTTTTGCAGCTGATCAGCACCATGACTAACTGGGTGGAATGTGTGCTTTTAGCATCACCATCAAGGAACCATGCACAGCAAGGGGCTGTTACTGCCTTCTCCAAAATGGTTTGTGATCATGGTCATAGGCAAGATTATGAATGGATATATATATTTAATTAGAATATATATATATTTAATTTAAATATATATATATTTAATTAGAGTCCAAAGGACAGAAGCACTCAGGAAGTATGTATGTGTGTGTGTATGTATGTATGTATATATATATATATATATATACA